CAGAAAATGAATTTTTCCCTTGATTTTTCTGCGTTTTCCATATGAAAATGGAAAATATTTTATTAGAACTTATTTTTAGTATGATTTTATCGGTATGATTATTGTTAGTTTGATTTGTTACAATTTCCATGAGAAGAGATGACAATCCATTTGTTGTACAATTTCTATGAGGAAAGATGACAATCTATAGCTCGAAAAAGAGATCACAATTTGATATTTCAGATTCGTTGACGTGAATTCAATTCTGCTTTTTTTTCTTCTGGGTTCATATTTAATATTTTAATTATATTTCAAGAACGTCATCAATTCATAGATTTGCGTTGTAGGATAACTTTATGACTAATGTGATCAGAAATTTTCTGTAATTCTGTCAATTTGTTTACTGAAGAGGATCCAGGATCGAAATGTTTCAAGGAATAAATTTTATTATTCAAATTGAGAAGTTTAATTATACTATTTTTCTACGCTCTCTTCAATCAGCGGTGGCTCGCAAAGGCATTTTACTTATTATTTATCTTAAATATATGTCGCGTCGCACATTTCTTGATTTTACCTTGTATATTTCGATTCCATGTGACTTTAATTCCATGTGACAGTTGTCATAATCGCTCATTACAAGCATTGATATATCAGATATATGTATGGTGAATCGCACTCTAAAAATGTTTGCGCATTCCGTAAAACATTCGTGAAAAATAATATTGCAGCCTCATTGTCCACGAGTGTATACTCATTGTATTTTTGTACGAACAAAATCTTAAACCTTAATGGACTGTAATGAAATCTTAATAAAATTTGAATAAAATGTAATGAAATCTTAATGAAATATTGCTGAAAGTGCATGATCAATTGATATAGATTTCCATACGAAACTCAGTAATATTTCATTATAATTCATTACAATTTCAATAATATTTTATCATTGTTCATTTAAATTTCAGTAATATTTCATTATTCATTACAATTCAGGAAAAAATTTCCATCAGGGTTAGTTTGTCATAGGGAGTGTCTCGGATCATCGTGTGAAATAGTTAACACAAACGAGACAATGTTCTTTGAAATAGATATTACAATAATATTCAGGTGGACGTGCTTGAATCTGCTGGATAGTGCGGTGAACTTGCTCAATAATACTGAAACATTGCGAATTACTTTGAGTTATTGGCAGAACCCACAACAACTATCCCAAATGCGGCAATCTGTCTTCATAAACGTCGAGACATAGCGCTGTGCTATGAGCTTATCTCTTTCGCTCTACGTAAAGACCATAGCACAGACTGTTGCATAACACATATAGTGCATAAGAGAATTAACCAATCAGAATCCTTCCTTTCCTTTCATTTCATGAAAAAAAGGAAGTTTAACTGGTTGATTCTCTTATGCATTATATGTTATGCGTTATACAAAAATATGTGCTGCGGCCATAAGTCAGATTACGAACCGATTAAAAAAAAATCTGTCGAAAAGGGTTAAGAACGGATGCGGTTTCTGTTGCCATGTCGTAATACATGGCCACTCTCATCCTCGGAACTTTTATTTTTTTTCAACTTCAGACAGAACTCACGAGATAGATATTTATTGCATGAGTTCCTCGTCATCCTTTTATGATTCTGCTAGTGCAGCATAGTCCATAGAGGACTAAAGTTTCTCTACCCCTGACTACATGTCAGCTACAACATTGTCTCTTACCACATGTCGGATGTCTATCGTGAAATTGTTGCTTTGTGTTTTTTTTTTTATATTGTGCATACACGTCTCTGCTTTGCATTTAATAATATGTTTACTTTATATCTCTGTAATAATTTGTATACCAAAAATAAATTTTAAAAGTTATATCAAAAATAAAAAAATAACGAGATGATCTTAAAGCACGCACTTGAAAACTTGATTCAGTCCGTGAAAAATGCATACTCTTCGACAAATGACTCAAGAGTACGCAAGCATGAAAAAAGTATCGCTTATACCATATATTTATAAGCATCATTCATATTTTATTGAATATAATTTTTTATAAATATCTGAAGTATTTTTTTACATGCAGAATTCATATAAGTAAGTTTTTGACCGACACGATGTTCGATTCCAGTGTAATCAATATATGAATCTAGACCTAACAGCTTTGGCACTAGATCCAATTTTCACCAGATTTAGGATTTAAATACAAATTGTTACAAAATATGTAAGATATCATCGTTATCATCATCTGTAGATGATGACACATGTCTAAGAGTACGCATTTTTATCTTTTTAGTAAAATTAATCTTCTGTAAAAATAAATGTTTATATTAAATTAATATTTGAAAAACTTTTAATTCAAACTATAAGGAATAGCTTAAGCAGCATTTTATTGCTTAAATTCGGGTTCTTGTACAAGTTGTACAACATGACAGAGAAAGTGTGTACCCTTGAGCGGTCTTACCCCAGACAACAAAAAAGTCCAAAATCGAGACGTTTTAAAGAGGTCTTTAAACGTCTTTATGACATATTTAAAAAATGTCTTTGAGATATCTTTAGGCGTTTTTTAAGACGTCTTATGTTTCGTTTTCGGATATGTATGTCGTCTGGGATTCTATCTCTTATATTCAGTCGAATGTGACAACATAATAGCGCTTCAAGAACAAAATCTTAATAGCAACAAAATGGTATTTCTTAAGTAGATATGGACAACCGTATTGCAGATTTGGCGCATAATCCGTGCATGCGAAGGCAATCAGGCGAGTACAGTAGATAATGACAATTGCCGATAGAAATTATTTTTTTATCTATGTAGAAGCAAGAGCAGAGAGAGAAAGGGAGAGAAAGGAAGAGAAAGATAGAGGGGGAGGGAGAGAGAACAAAAGAGGGAGATAACGCACAACATTATGTGGCCTTCTTATTCATTACGAAATCACATTGCAAATGAGTGCGATGAAATAAGCGCATTTCTTGATATAGACCGGCTCTTAATTCTGAAGGACTATAATTGTGAATCTGTGATTTGTCGTTTTTTTTCTGTATGTATATTCAGTGAGAGCAAAAAATATTCGTACAAGAAAATTTTTTATAAAAAATGTCTTATTTGGTAAAAAATAAACATTAATTAGCAATTTTATACAATTAATATATTCTGTTCTAACATAATAAACAAACGAGCTTCGCATGTATTTCTGATTTTAGAAGCTAAATTTCTCAATTGTACGAATACTTTTTAAGCATTAACGTTGAATCGACGTCGAATTGGTGTTGAAATCATCGTATCGATGTCAATTTGACATCAGTTCGATGACTCATTTCTCACTGGATAATATTTATTTTTTAAAAATAAAGTTTTTTTCTCTGTACGAATACTTTTTGCACTCACTGTATGTATGTACAGGATATGAAATCGCGATTCAAAACATTATATCAAAGAAGCTTTCGAAAAACACGAAAGTAAAAAAGTTATTTGAATTTTATTTTAAGCAGTAATTTTTGAGATAATGGTGGTCAAATTTAAATATGCTCCGTTACAGACGTTAGATGGCCACCTGTCCATATGGATTAGGGGTCGGTACGATTAGGGACCAATGACTGGTCAGTTAAACACCGATTAAATAATTGGCGTTGATGAAACCAGCCCTAGATGTGGCGCACGCGGTATGCGGAACGCGATAAAGTAATAGTATAGGTAACTAGCTTGATAATTTCTGCATATGACTTCGGCCGATTTCTTACTCGATTTAACAGTGCTATCATGGCCATCAATATTATTTGCAATCTCCATGATGAAAACGCAAAAAAAGTTTTTTTCACACCGAATTCTGAAATTATTTCTCTCATTTACTTTGCAGTATATACAATATATACCCATGTTAATTTTTGGTTATGTATTTAGCTGTTGAAATCGTTTAACCACGACACCGATCATGCCGCATCGCCGAGTCTCGTGCTACTTGCTTCTTTACCCTCCTATTTTCCTACATGGAGCATGGGAAACTGACCGGGCCAATTAGTGACAAATTAACATTTGTACGAATTTTGTTAATATATGAACTTGTTTCTCTGCACATTTTATCAATATTCTTTTTTTTCCTAGTTAGTTATCACGTACCGTGTACCGGTAAGTTTCTTCCAAAAATCGGTACTATAAAGTACCGATTTTTGCAGAAGAAATGAAAAATACAGAGAAACGTACAAAAGATATAAACATTTTAAAACATATCTTTTATTTTATTCTTTTTCGATAAATAATAATATATTTACCTTTTATTAATTAATTTTACATACGTAGTGATAATAAAATTGACGAGGACCAATAGTAACCAGAAAAGATGTTCGTTATCGATATTGCTTGCCAATATAACCATCAGCAAAGTCTGTGTAGTTTAGAGATCTTGGATAGCCAAAATAAAATTTTGGTCATTGATAATGGTTATTCGTAACCAATATAAAATTCTGGTCATTTATAATAATCGTAATCAAAAATAATTTCCGACATCAGTAATGGTTATTCGCAATCAAAAACAGTTGTAATTATTTATAATAGTTATTAATAACTAAAATCGTTCAAAGAAAGATATAATTATTATGTTATAACTTTTTTTTTGTAACAGTTAAGCTCTGAGAAATATATATATATATGCGCGCGCGCGCGCGCGCGTGCGTGTGTGTGTGTGTGTAACAAGTATCCATAATTTAAACAGAAAAGTAATTTTGAATTAGATGTTAATTTTTATAATAAAATCCAAGATATATAATAGAGCAGTTAGTATATTTATATTTTCCAGATATATTTCTAGAATGTATGTATATTTTAGAAATTCATGTTTGAAAAACATTTACGAAACGGACTTTAAATGATTCGAAGAAACTTACAGAAATCTACAGAGGTATAAATTATTATTTTTTAAGAGAAAACTTTGATTAGACGAAAAAGAGAGTCAGTATCTATAAAGCTACGTAGAATTTAGGCAAAAGTATACTGCTTTCAACTTTCTTTGCTCTCATGTAATCGGGACTTTTCATCTATTTCGTATTTTTAGGAATACAAAGACTTCACGGACCCGGAGAACATAATGCCCCTTGCTACAAGTGACTTTCGTAATCCAGTATGTCAAGAAATGAGGTCCCTTAGATTTAATAGCGGCAATGGTATTGGTGGAAGCGGCGCAGAACATTTAAGTTCATCACTTATGGAATCAAAGGTCTCTCCAATTCAGCCATTGGAAACGTTAAGCTTCGCAAGTATGTACAACGAGCAGGAGTATCATTATGCAAAGACTTACAATGAACAGGGAAGCATCGACAGTTCAGATACATATGCGAGCTGTCAAACACATCCGTCACATTCACAGGTATGAGTCGCATGGCTAATAACAAATTATTTTTTTGTGAATGCAGTAATATGTTAGTGAAAAATTACAAGTACATATATATATATGTATGTGTGTGTGTACTTGTATATATATATATATATATATATATAAATTAATTTATATATATAGCTCTAACGAATAAATAAAAGAAAAATAATAAAAGCTTTTCGGAGCCAACACAAGTTATTAACGTGTATATAAATATTCTGTATTAAATATGACAAAAAAGACATATATATATATATATAAATACGTTTCAATCCCGTTTTGGCTCCTCTTTAGTATAATAACATCAAATCATAAAATTAATGTATTCGCAGATAAACGTGTAAATATAAAATTTATCAAAAAAACATTAATTATAAAAAATTGAGTTAATGTGGTTGTCGTACGCTGGAAGCTGGTCAGAAATAATTATTACACCCACATCTTGCTAACATATTTTTTAAATTCCAGTTTACTAGATAAATCATGACAAATTAGAAATCTTGTAAGAAGACAACTATGTCATAACAAAATATGCATTTATATGAACAAAAATTGATCGAAATAAAAATTAATTTGCTGCAAATGTTTCGTCAAACCATCCGGTTTACTGTGTCATGTCAATAAAATTATATTATATGGTTAAATATATTAAACGTTATAAAGTAATAAATTAAACAATAAAATAAGAATTCACATGAACCGTTCAAAAATGATAAATAACCGTGTTGACAGTTTGACTGTTGTAAACATAATGGCAATTGAAACGATCAAGGCCTATGTAAGTCAGTTAGATAAACAATAAAGAAATAGAAATGGGGAGAAAGTTCCAGAGAGAAGATGCAACATATAGGAAGGATTGTTGATAGGTGGAGGTACTGCAGGAAGGGAGGGTAAGATCGTGAAGGGAGGTACGTGAGTACGGGTGTGGAGGATGCTTGGAAGTGTGTGTGGGTGTATTTGAATACTAATTGTCGATTTGACCGGACACTAGACACGACAACGACGATGACGATACCATTTTTCTTAATAAAATTTTACCTTATTTTTATATAAAAATTGAAATATCTCGCTTTTTTACTATTCTCAATATTCTCTCACTATTACTCAAGCTTTGAGCCTATTAAAAATTTCGGGTGCTTTCCAGCAAGGACACAGTCAGACATTATGTAACACAGAGTCGTTTCATCCTTGTTTAACTTAGGCAAACAACAAGGACGTAATGATTCATTGTGTCTGACTGTGTCCTTGCTGGAAAGCACCATTTGTTCGCGTAGCCGTTTTTTTTAGATATGACCTAAGTCAATTCAACTTCACTCGGTTCGAGTAAAAATACGCTATAGGGTCTCCTGCGTCCAGTAAGGGCGCGTATACTTGGCACGAGACACTACCGTGTCTCTTGATGTTTCTGGGTTTCTAGAGCCTCCGTATACTTCCTTGGAAAATATTTCGTTGTAGCTATAATAGTCGTTTTATAAAATAGTATTTGATATCCTGACTCAGTGCTGTGTTCTGCCAATGTTGATTGTGTGATATGTTTCAATCTGACATCCCGTTCGTACATCGCGCATCGTGTTCTCCTGGTTTCACCTGCAGAACTAAGTGGAAGTCTTCAGTCTTTGGAATTTCTTAGGGTTTCACTAAGACACAAATAAACAAGATTTCTCAGAATCCTTTCAATTCCACTTCCTCTCTTTCACATTGCGACAAAACATTTGACAAATCCTAGATCGCATCACGTATGAACAAATCCAGACCATCTACTTATAGTCACACAATCAGCATTGGCAAAACACAGCATTGAATCAAAACACCAAATACTATTTGATAAAACAACTGCTATATAGCTACAACGGCATCATATTTTCCAAGAAAGTACAGGGAGACCTTAATAATCCAGAAACACTTAGATAACTTAAACATAGGCTATAACATGGGGTAAGTTAAATATGGCAGACCGCTCTTCCCCATCTCCTTCCAACTTCCGTTCTCAACAGAATTTATATAAAGAGAATTCTCCAGAGAAGTAACTCAGTATCAGTATTCCTTGTCCTAATGAAGCGAACGGCAAGGTTCACAAAATGTTAGCATTGGTTCAGTTATGATTTTTTTTGTGTGTGATGTAAGTTTACTATTACATACAAGTTTCAGTTTATGATCAATACTTAACGTTATATATAACGCATTAGGGATATTCTTGCGTCGAGCCTAAAGATGATTCGACTGTATACATCATGTATATACACTGCCATTGATGGAAGCGCGAGATAGCCTATATTCCTCTCTCGCTCGGAGTAATTTGACGAAATCTTTGTTCTCTATAGATTAAAGAGTCTCTTTAAAGATGACAATTTAATTATATTTTATTCATTTATATGTAACACATGTAACGTTACATACAAATAAATTTTAAATGTAATTTCTTCATAGTATCAATAAACAACAATATCATCATTAAATTTTATTAATTATTATTAATCATTACTAAAATTTTTTAATTGTTATTAATCATTATTAAAATTTATTAATTATTATTAATTTTTATTAATATTATAGTAACTTTAATATAATATAATATGATGTAACTTTTATTATTATTATTATTAGATAAATTATTTATATATATACATGCAAGGATTCGTTATTTTTATAATAAAATTATGTTTTAGACTTCTACTATACTAGTAATTCTTTTTCAATTCTTTCATTTCGCAGGGTGATTTGACTGAAGACGCAGATAGTAATCTTTACATAAATCCTCTGGAGGCAACGGAAAAATTCAAAACAAGTCAGATGAAAAAATCAATTTCTGGTGAGGTTGGCCGAAACATCATCGCTGAAACATTGCCTAGCGCTGAATCTTTGAGGGAGGCCAGTAAAGTTAACCTGAATGATATGATGCCCAAACATAGGAAAATTAGAATCCAACAAGTGAGTCCCTTAAAAATTAGTATTCTATATGTAATTATCCTAAAGTATCTTCTAATATTTATTTATGCAAATATTTATTTATTTGGTATGCGCGATTATTCATATAATTATCTACGAAATCATAAAAAAAAATAATCAAAGAATTTCTGACATCTAAAAATTCAAGAGCTTTTAACTGAATTTCAATTCATAATCATACGACTTACTTTCATAAAGTTATATAGCTGTTTAAATTTTAAATTTTCTGCATAATATTAGTTTAATTAAAGTTTAACTAAAAATAAATTTTTTTTTAACTGCCCCAGTACCGGGTAATGAGATACCCGGGTACCAGGTTTCTCCTTGAAACCCGCGGATAGTACTTAGGTATCTGTACTACCCGGGGGTACCCGAAAAGTAAACTATAAAATAATTTAAAAACTTAAATTTTCGATATCTCTACGTTGATAATAATTTTACATATAGAATAATTAAAGAGAGAAATCATATTATGTAAAAAATCATATATACGTAATTACATCTAAAAAAGTGAACTTTCTTATCTATATATATGGCTCCTCTACCTAAACAAAAAACACATCTAGCTAGCT